CCAGGCTGGCCTTGAATTCATGGCAGTCCTCCAGCCTCAGCCTCCCAACTGCTGGGATCACAGGAGTGTGCTATCAGTCCTGGTTTGAAAAATTTTGTTACTTATCTTTCATCTCATTAAAATGGTTGCTGAAGCCAGGCATGGTGGCACTTGCATGTAATCCCAACACTCAGGATACGGAGACAGAAGAATTGCTGTGCATTCAAGGCTGATCTGGCTGCATGTGAGTTCTAGGCCCAGTCTCAACTACTTAACAAGAGCCTCTCCTAAAAAAAAAAAGCAGCAGCTGAATGTAGGTGAGGTGGTTAGGTTGTTCTGTTGAGAAGTTAGATGACTGATACAACCAATGGCTTCAAAATTCTCAAGGAAGATGGGAAGATGTTTTGGAGCGGAGGGCTTATACCTAATGATGGAGGAGTGACTATGGTATTGATGAGCTTGTTTAGTGCTTTTCCAGGGCCTGAAAAAGTGTGTTTGATAGTCTTGCTTATGCTTTACTTACAAATTTAAGTATTAGGAGTCCTCTTAACGCTGATTCTTTACACGCTCTAGCTTACTATTTTACCCTTGAACAGGAATTTGTAATCAGCAAATATAACTTTTATTTTATAGTTTTATGACCTTTGTGAACTATTCAGAACTGGAGGTCAGGTTCCTGACACAAACTACATATTTATGGTATGTAAACACCAATAATGTCAAGTATTTATTTAAAATTGAAAGTCTGAGTTATTTTATGTAAATTTCATTGCCATGTGATAATCAGTATTTAAATGTATTAAAAAATAATTCTGTACTACAATTTGCCACATCCTTTAATTGCTTTAATAAACTACTATTCAAGTAGGCTTGGGTTGTAGCTGTCAGAAAAATATGCCTTAAACCATTGATTTGAGGCATAAATCTTCACCTTAATGTTATTTACATATTTTATATATATTCATTTTTATCTCTTAATTGAGCTATGCCTGGATGAATAATCACAGATACTGTTTTGTATTCTATACATTTTCCTAATGCACATTTACTATTATGATGAGTGTTTGCTTCCTTTCCTCTTGGAGTATAGTGTTATTCTTAAACTGTTTCTGAATCCTTTTGTGATTATTTCTTCTGGAAGTTTTACATCCTTCCTATTCTTTTAGTTCTCCTATTGGCATAATATTGGACTACATCAAACATTATGAAAAATAACATGCTACCATATATGCAATTGTTAAATACAAAGGTGAAATCAAAATTTTTTACATTTACATTAATTGGTATTGTGCACTAATAATCCCAGCAGTGTGGAAGGTGGAAGCAGAAGGATCTCAAAATTTGAGCCCAACCTGGGTAACTTGGCAATTTAGCATTCTGGTGAGAACTATCTTACAAGACAAGTTGGGGGCAGCTGGGGATGTATTTCTGCAAAGGTCTTCGAGACCTTTTATTTAACATCTAATGTAGACAGTAGAAGATTGGAAAAAGGAATTTTTTTGTGGAGAAATATTCGGAACAATTGCACAGCAATTACAGTAGGCCTCTTCTGAATCATAAGTTAAGTACAAAGATTTAAAAGAAAGTTTATTTTCATTTGAGGTGTTTTTTTGTTTAAGTTTTATTTTTCCACTGGGAACTGGAGATGCAGCCTAGGGATCTTACACTGAGCTATATCACTACACCCTCTTTTTTTTTTTTTTAAGATGGTATCATTGGGCTTAAACTCCACAGTCTTCTGTCTCATCCTTTTGGAGTGCTGGGATTACAGGAATACACCACCATATCTAGCTCCATTTGAATTTTTGTTAAAGTTCAATTTATACTTACAGTAATTTCGTGCATGCGTGTATATTATTATTTGGCCATGTCTCTGAGATTATTACTTTAATATAAGTTTAAAATATTATGGTACTTATTTATATTGTTTATAACTGTAAATGTTTGCTTTTTACAGGGTGATTTTGTAGACAGAGGTTACTATAGTTTGGAGACCTTCACTTATCTTCTTGCACTAAAGGCTAAGTGGCCTGACCGTATTACACTTTTACGAGGAAATCATGAAAGTAGACAAATAACACAGGTGTATGGATTTTATGGTAAGATCTATTTTTTTTTTTGTTTTGTTTTGTTTTTTAGTGAAGTTTAGGTACAGGGACTACAGGGTCTCTCTACACAGATTATACTCTTAGTGATCCTCTTGTTTTCAGCCTCCCAAGTGCTTGGATTACAGGAGCGCCACCATGCCCAGTCTCAGTCGCTGTCTCAGCGCACCCTGGGGCTGGGGCTGGCATGGCTCTCTGGAGATACATAAATAAAATAAAATAAAATAAAATAAAATAAAATAAAATAGGGGCGGGGGAGATGGCTCAGTGGAATAAGTGCTTCCCTGGCAAGTGCAAGGGCCTGAGTTCAATCCCCAGTTCCAAAAAATAAATAAATAAATAAAATAAAATAATAAAAATGTAGGGGCCAGGAAGATGGCTCAGTAGAATAAGTGCTTGCATGGCAAGCGCAAGGGCTTGAGTTCAATTGCTGGTTTTGCAAAAAAAAAAAAAAAAGTAGATTGCTAGGACCTTCCTTTGGCCTATTAATCAGAATCTTTTGGGGTGTGACAGTAGAATCTACCAAAGGTGAATGAACTGCACATGTTTTTTTAAAATTGAGCTCAATCATTTTTTTAGTACAGGGTCTCACTAGGTAGATCAGACTTGTAGTGATCCTCCTGTTTTCAGCCTCCAAACCATTGGGATTATGGGTGTGTACCACTATGCCCAGTCTTTTTTTTTTTTTTTTCGGAACCAGGGATTGAACTCAGGCCCTTGCGCTTGCCAGGGAAGCGCTTATTCCACTGAGCCATCCCCCAGCCCCCTATGCCCAGTCTTAATTGCTGTCTCAATGTGCCCTGGGGGCAGGGCCAATGTGGCTCACCACAGATCAAACCCCAGCCACTGTGCTTTACCTAAACAGGTGCTTTAGTCTGCTGAGCTATCTGGCCGGCCTATTATTATTATTATTATTATTATTATTATTAGTTTGGTACTAGGAATCAAACTTTGGACCTTGGGCCTGCCAGGGGGGTGCTGCACAATTAAGCTATATTCCCTACTCCTTGATAGTACTTTTATGGCTGCACATAAAGTACGTTCATTCATTATATTGTAAGAATTGACTTAACCCAGTCCTTTTGGACATTGGGTTATTTTTTTAAGAACAATATATTTATTCGGGGAAAGACACTGAGTTATTTTTAAATTGTTTTGTTTTTTCTAGTTACTTTTGTATTAATTTTGAGGTGGATCTCACTATTTAGTTGAGACTGGCTTTACAATCACTATGTCGCCCAGTCTGGTCTCAGTACTTGTAGTGATCCTCCTGCTTCAGTCTTCCAAAGTGCTGGGATTGTAGGTGCATGCTACAATGCCCAGGGTTATAGGCTACTTTTGATTATTACTATTACTTTTTTTTTATGTATTTGGTTTTTTGTTTGTTTGTTTGTTTGTTTTTCCAGAACCGGGGATTGAACTCAGACCCTTGTGCTTGCCAGGGAAGCGCTTATTCCACTGAGCCATCTGCCCGGCTCCTTTTTTATGTATTTGGTATAGGGTGCCGGTACATGCCTCACTATGCAGCTCTGACTCATAGTGATCCTCCTGTTTTCAGCCTCCCCAGCACTGGGATTACAGGCTTTTGTCACCACACCCAGTCTCTGTGGCTGTCTCAGAGCGCCCGAGGGCAGGGCCAGCAAGGCATGCGGTACAGGGAATCAAACCTCAGTCCCTGTGCTTGCCTAAGCAGGCACTTGGTCCACTGAGCTATCTTGCTGGCCCTTGAGATTTTTTTTATTCATGAAAAGCTATTGGTTCTGTTACAAAATAATCAGTATTTTGGATATTATACTGTGGTGTTTGCTCAGTAAAGTAACACTTGTAGGTATTCGCTGTAAATTCTGAGAAATGCAGATGATGTTGTGTGCGCATCATAGGGGGTAGTTACACAATGTAAGATGGCTTGGCCAAGGATATAGCTCAGTGATACAAGTGCCAGCCTGGTCCTGAGTTTGATTCCTGATACCCGACTGGCCCCCAAAAAGTTTAAGATGGCTAAAGGCTAAGATGGTACTATAATCTTACAGTACCTCTGTTATATTTGTGACCTGTCATTGAGATAATGGCAGTATATGACTATTACATCTAAAGTACAATGTTTTAAGATATAATTTTTTACAAGACTTAATATTGTAAGAAATATACATTTTATACATAATATATTTTTCAGGTCAAGTATCCTTTATCCAAAATATATGAGACCAGAGAGAGTTTAGGATTTTGAATTGTTTTAAATTTTGGAATATTTAGACATTTTGAGGATGAGATCTAAGTCTAAACAGAGTTCACTGATATGTCATATATTCTTTGAGTACCTAGCCTAAGGTAGCTTTATACAGTAGAGGGCAAGTAGTCCTTATCTGAAAAATCTGATATTCAAAATTATCAGGTCAAAAATCTGCGATGTGAGCAGCATCATGACACTCTACACATTTTGGAGTTTGGATCATTTTGGAGTTGGATTGAACTCAGGCCCTTGCACTTGCCAGGCAAATGCTTATTCTACTGAGCGATCTCCCCGGCCCCTTCTATCATTTTTGACACTCAGAAATTTCAAATTTGGGAGTGATCTGGATTTCAGATTTTCAAATTAAGTATGCTCAGCTAGTAAATCTATGCACATATTCCAAACTCCAAATACCTCTGGTCCCAAGCATTTTTTTTTTTTTTTTGTCTTTTTAAATTATTTTGAGATAGTCTTACTATATAGCTCAGACTAGCTCAGTAGCCTATATAATCTGGAATTTATAATCCTCCTGCTTCAGCCTTGTAAACATTTCTTCTTCTTTTTTTTTTTTCATATTTATGATAAGAGATAAGTCCCTATATTGTTAGTGAGACCTTGATTGAGACCTGTCCCATGAGGCCAGATGTGGAATTTTCCACTTGGGACATTGTCACAGTGTTCAAACATAATTTTAAGCATCTTGGATTTCAGATGTTTAAAATAGTGATATAGAGGGTAACAGAGATAGCTCAGTGGTCTAAGCGCCTGCCTGGGCAAGCGCAAGGACCTGGGCTTCATTCCTGGTACCACATGCTATACAGGACCTGCCATGGGCACACAAAGCCAGCCACCAAGACCAGGCATGGTGACACATGACTGTAATCTCAGCACTGGGGAGGCTGAAACGGGAGGATCACTAAGAATTTGAGCTGCACAATGAGACTCAATACCAAATTTATTTTAAAAAAGGTGAGGGGTATGTTTGGGGTGTGTGTGTATGTGTGTGTGTGTGTGTGTGTGTGTGTGTATTTAATGACATAATTTGAAGACAGTCTCAGATTGGATAACTTAGGACTGAGAAATGTTGAGATAGGAAATTATCCATGCATCTGTAATTAAGGGCTCTATAATGTTTGATTTTATCATTCTGTTGGAATATGGCAGTCACATTAATAAGTAAATGAGGGCCCGAGATGTAGCTCAGTGGCACAATGCCTACCTAACAAATATGAGGCCCTGAGTTAAAATCCCAATATAAATACATAGATAAACAAATTTGGTGAAATTGACTGGTGTTAACTACTAAAAGCAATTGTGTTATATGAAATTAGGAGTTAACTTTTTTTGTGTGTGGCCAGTTCAGGTTGCCCTTGGGACAGGGCTGGCATGGCACATGATGTTGGGGTTCGGGCAACAAACCGCAGTCCCTGTGCTTGCCTAAGTTTGCCTAAGCAGGTACTTTAGACTGCTGAGCTATCTTGCAGGCCCCAAGAATTAACTTCCTGATAAGAGCATTTTGGTAGATAATTTCCGCTACATCTTAGGGCCATTCCTGTAATGAAAAGGGTTATATTTATAGCTAGACACTGGACTTTTTTTGGCTTTATATAAAGGGCCTATTAGGCCTAAATATATGTCATAATTTTCTGTTCTAATTTAAACTGAATTTCTATTGGATTGTAAGTTATTTTCATATTGAATTTGTTTTTGATTGGCTGGCAAATTCAGAATTTTGTTAATGAGAGCACTTCCATTTCTTTCACAGATGAGTGCCAAACCAAATATGGAAATGCTAATGCTTGGAGATACTGTACCAAAGTTTTTGACATGCTCACAGTAGCAGCTGTAAGTTTTATGTGTCTTCTTAAAACTTTTAAGTATTTTCCTGCCTATAACATAGTATCCTTTTATCTTCTTGTCATCTCAATTATATTGCTATCTTTAGTATTCGTTAGTGAATTTATAATTGGCCGAGTTTGTTATTATATATTGTTTTTATTATGCTTCTTTTGCTAGTTAATAGATGAGCAGATTTTGTGTGTTCACGGTGGTTTATCACCTGATATCAAAACACTGGATCAAATTCGAACCATTGAAAGGAACCAAGAAATTCCTCACAAAGGAGCATTTTGTGACCTGGTTTGGTCAGATCCTGAAGATGTGGATACTTGGGCAATCAGTCCTCGAGGAGCAGGTTGGCTTTTTGGAGCAAAGGTCACAAATGAGGTAAACTAACATTTTTGGGAAGGTAGTTTATTGGTTGGTAAAAGACATACATTGGTGGCCTCATGTAACAAACTTTTAGTGTAGTTTCCTTAGACCAAGGAGGCTATAGATTTCAAATTTCTAGCTTATTGATGACCTTCCTTAATGGTTAAATGAGATCATATAGTAAAAGCCCATAGTGTAGCATCCATTTAGTATTTGAATAAAGTAACAGGTAAATAACAAGATAATGGGCTGGGGTATGTAGCTCAGTGGTAGGGCATTTGCCTACTACATATAACGCCCTGGCTTCAATCTCTTATAAAAGAAAAAGAAAAAGTAACAATCCGGGTGTGGTGGCACATGGCTATAATCCTAGCACTCTTGGAAGCGGAGGCAGAGAATCACAACTTTAAGCCCAGGCTAGGCAATTTAGCCCTTTAACCAGACCCTGTCTCAAACAAAAGCAGAAATGGGGTCAGGATATAGCTTGAGTACAAAGGCCCTGGGCTCAATTTTTATTACCTCAAAAAATAAGATAAAATTGTAGGTCCTGGGATACAGCTCAGTGGCGCAGCACCTGCCTGGCTAGTGTGAGGTCTTGAGCTTGATTCCTACTACACAGTGGTAGAGCACCTGCCTAGCATGCACAAAGCCCTTGGTTTGATCCACAGCACCGTAAAACAAAGTGAAACAGAAACAAATATACATGCACAGAAAGCCAACATTACATTGGGAAATGCTCCAGCATAAGGAAAGAAGACAACTAGCCTCTGGTCCCATTGGTGTCACTCTGATCAGTTATTTATTCAGTCAGAGGTGTATTATCCTTAAGTTGCAAAGGACAGTAAGTCTTCTTTTAGGTTTACTGTAGGGTTGGAAATTTGGCTCAGTGGTAGAGCTCATGCCTTGCATGCATAAAGCCCTAGCACCACAAAAATAAAACAAAAAAACAATTACAACAACGGAA